CCTGGTTTAAACTAATATAGTTCATTTTGTCAAGATACCTTGAAGTATGGGATATAGTTATGAGCCAGTATATTTACTCTTGCCTGCACTTTCTTTTTGTATGGTTTGTATCTGATTTTATGGAGGTTTTTACCTCCTTTATAATTTGTTTTAATTGTAATTGGTTTAATAACTTTTTAAGGGGGGGAGGGGGGAATTGTTCTTAAATTGCTATGTGATGGATTTTTATGATGTAAGCCGGCCCGATTGTTCTCAGAGGGGCGGGGTATTAAATAAAAATTATTATTATTATTATTATTATTATTATTATTATTATTATTATTATTATTATAGTTTATTGTGTTTTCATCTCAGACTCTTCAGACACATTGAAATATGGGAGATGGTTTCATACATTGTGATCTCAAACTGTTCGGATATACAGTCAGCCCTCCACATCCACAGATTCTGCAGTTACATATTACACCATCCACAGCTTGCAAATATCCCCCTCCCCCCAAAAATTCCAAAAAGTAAACATTGATTCTGCCATTTTATACAAGAGATACCATTTTACTACACCCTTTGTATACAGTGGGACTTGAGCATCCACAGATTTTTGTTTCTACGGGTGGTCCTGGAACCAAATCCCAGCAGATGCCAAGGGCAAGGGCGCAATGTATTTGAATATATGGCAGGACTGATCACAAGAGTCCTTCCTTTGGAACTGAAACCTACCATTCAAAATACTGTCTTTCTGTTGGTGCAACTTGAGTTGCCTCGTATTATCGTGTATTTTACACATATCCCTCTACATCAGGGACCAGCAACTTACGGCCCGGGGGCCAGTTAAGGCCCTGGGCCCCGGACTTACCTGCCCAGGCCGAAGTTTGCCGCCGCCACCGGGGCGCGTTTTCAGCTGCGCTCGCTGCAGCTACCATTTTGGAAGTCAAAATGGCGGCCGCAATGCGTTTGCGCATGCGCAGTACTATTGCGCATGCACAAATGCGTCGCAGCCATGATTTGGACTTCCAAAATGGCAGCTGTGACATGCGCCGTGGCGGCTGCGGGCGCACGTGCTACGGCGGTGGCCGCGTGCACGGGGGGCATGCATGGTGGCTGAGGGTGCATGCGCGCGCCGCCATTCCCCCCCCCTCAGCCCAGCCGAGACCTGGGCTACGGGAGACCGGCCCAGGTCTCAAAAAGGTTGCCTGTCCCTGCTCTACATCATGAGATCATCCCATTCTGAACTAGTAAATATCAATGATAAGAGCATAACTCTTCCTGATCCTCCAAGGAAATGGAATTCTACTGCAGGAATATCTTTATCTGAGGGCTACTATCCTTAGTGCTCGGATGGGAGACTGTGAACCAATGCCAGGTGATGTAGGGTATGTTGCAGAGGAAGAAGCATACAAGACCTCCTCTGAGTATTCCATACCTAAGAAAACTCTATGAAATTCATGAGATTACTGTAAATTTACAGGTGACTTGAAGGCACACACATACACACATATGCCACGCTATCTAAATATTGAAGGTGCAAACACGATGCTGTTCTTACTGGTGTGAATAAGCTTTGTTTAGCTAATTTATTTTTTGATTGGTTAGTTCTAATGATGCAATCACCTGTCTCTTTCTGACATGTTTATAATCTGGCCTAATCAATGAGATTTGACCTTTTCCTCTATGCCAACCAGCCTCTGTGTCTGCAACTGTAGACTTTTACCTGTTTGCAAACTGCACCTCTGGCTGATGACCTTATTCTTTCCATACTTGCATATTTATAAAACAGAATTCTGTTTATGGCAAACCGGCACAACTTGGCAGTAGATAGGGGCCAAAATTAAAATAGGCTAAATGTCTTCGGGCCACAGATAGGTTTTAATTAAATACTAAGAAATTAATAATATTAATCAACACTAATTAATAATATTACTTAATATTATAATACTAATAATATTAATATTAATGAATATTAATTCCATTTTCCTCCTCCTCCACCCAGACCTCTCCTCGGGAGAAGGCCAAGCGATGGAGGAGCCTTGAGGGGCAATCATATGCCCGTCTTCCTTGTCTACTGCCTGGCCTGCACAGGAGAAAGCTGGGTGGAGGAGCAGCCTTATAGAGCGAACGTTTGCCTGTCCTCGTCCACCACCACCACCACCACCTGGCCTTCTTCTCAAGAGAAAGCTGAGCAGCAGAGGAGCCTTGAAGTCATTCCACATCCTCATGGTCTGCCCAAAATGCTTTAGTGGCCCACATGCGGCCCTCGGACCATATGTTGTACAGGCCTGGTTTATGGAGTGTGCAGAGACATTTAAAGAATTCCTTTGTAACATGAACATCTCTTTGACTTGCATGACTGTCCTTTAGAATATGCATTCCCCTGGGCATAAGCTGAATTTCTTGAACATTCTGTAAAGTCACTAGCACATTTGAAACATTACCATAAATGAATAATAAATATATCTTTTCTTGCATTGTTTATTTGACCTCCCAATCTGATTAGAGCGTGTGGTGGTAATGGTGGTGGACAGGGATCAAAAGGAAAAATTAGGACATCAAGAAATCTACTTATTAGTGAATTTTCATCTGCATCATTCTCTGTGTCCCACACAAGCAGAACTATATCTGCATCTTTTATCCATTACTGTGTTTGTTCAGTGCTATCAGACATAGATATGAGAAGAGAGGAAATATGTGAAGGACTATTTTTGTTTGAAATTTCATTTTTATTTGGACTGAACTTCAGCAAGCCTTTAAAATTTGAGAAAGTTATCAACCATGGTCTACTTAATACCATATTCTATTTAAAACTTTTTGGGCATGTGCCCATGGGATTTGTAACTTCATTTCCTTCTCCTTTTTCACACTGACTGAATTCTCATGTTTTTTTAGGGTTTTGTGCATGGTTCTCAAAAATATGAGACTATAGTTATACACTGTTGCCTTGTTTGAATTATATTTGGTTATACTGATGTTCTAAATGTTATGGATTTGGGAAACTGGTCCCTTCTGCTTTAATAAATGTATTCACTTTGCTTCCATATACACTAAGAGGTTTGCACAATGTTTTGGATATCCTGGCTTTTCCAGACAACACAATCAGTTTTATACCCGCCACTGCAAACAAACAAACCAGTTTTAGTGAACTGTTGTACATTTATATTTGTAGGCTGGTGTCAGCATGTTGTCTACTACAACTGAGAAAGTCTGTTTGTATTTGCATCCAGTTTAAAAAGAGGTTATTTTCAGAATTCTGCTAGACATTCTAAGCACCTATGTATACTTGCTAATAACTTTGCCTAATATTGTTCATCTAACTGCCGATTATTCTCTTGCCTCACTTACATAGCAGAAATAGACAAATTATCTGACCACCAAGAGAACACAGCATTTGAAATTGATCCTGTCACCACTAGTGGTATGTGCAGATCAAGGCTAATCATGCATAGAGACAGCCTGCAGTAATCTCTGAGATTACATAAATTTCACTGTGTGAACTTCAGCGTCTTGATGTCAGAATCCAACCCATTTTGTTTGTTGTTAAGGTTCCCACTGTCAAAGGACCCTTGAAACATATGTAAAATGTTAATAGCAGGCTAATAATCTCTTTAGAAGTGCCAAAAGAATGGGGAATTTCATTGATCAAATCTATAAGCAGAGACAGGGAACATGTCCCTCCTGATGTTGTGGAACTGCAGGTCACATTATTTCTCAGCATTGCCTTTGCTGTTTAGGGGTGATGGGAGCTGCAGTTCAGCAGCAGATGGAAGGCCCATTCCTGCTAAGAAAAAAAATGGTGGTTCTTTGTATATTCAGATCTTCTGGATGTATTATGCATGCTACGTCTTTCTTTGTTAATGATAAAACTCTTCCATTTATACTTGTTAATTATGTTTGCCCCACAAGTGTCAGCTTGTTCACACATTACAGCAACACTTTTTTTTTTAAAGTCTTATATAGTAGCACCAAATATCATCTTGGGAATCTCAGCAGCATGTATGAGAATGATGAGAAAACATTCTTCATCTGCTGTTGCAGAATTTCCTTGTGTAAGATCTGTTTCATATTAAGTGAAACCCTAGAAGACACAAACATGTTCCAAGAGGGCTGGATATCAAATAGGCATTCAAAAGTAAGAGGTACAGAAACTAAACATAGAATAATGGCTACAAGGTGACTAAACATGTGACGTGTAATTCTTTTGCATAAATGTCATTGCCTTCTGTTCTAATCTTTCAAGGTTGTCAAGAAGGAGACAGTGGCTTTCGGCAGTGGTGAGCTGAAATGCCAAGGAGCTTGGGCTGCTGCTCTCACATGCTGATACGATAGTTTGTAATTGATTTGTTGCAGCATTAAATGGTTGGGGATGTGTTTTCATGGAAAATAATACAATACAGATGGATATGCTTATGTGGATGAGAGTGTCCATCCATATTGCATTGCCTTCAGTAAAATGTGTATTTGAATATGTATCCAAATTTTGCTACAATTAGCCAGACTTAACTTTACAGAAGCTGAGTTATGCAAGGCAAAGGTCTTGCATAAGGTCACACAGTTCAGTGAAGTAGCAGAATCAGGCAAAGGCAGAGTTTCTCCAGTAACATGGTCATGTTTCCTCTACCTATCTTTGTTGAAGAAATAAAAACAGCCCTAAAAATGTTAGCAAGGCAATGTTAATGTATACCTGTGACAAAGGAAGATTCCCTCCCCCAGCCAGAGCTTTAAATCTCTAAAATGCTTCTGGCATAGCTACTGTTTGAGTGTGAACATTTTGACTTGGTGTTACTTTTCACAGTCTGAGAGCTACAAATAGGTAAATTCAAAAATCTTGAAGTACAAACCATTGTATTTTCACTGTATGTGTGTTATTTGCCTTCTTGTTTCCATCTTATGGCGATCCTAAGGCGAATTTATCACATTTCCATGGCAAGTTTCTTCAGAGGGGGTTTGCCATTGCCATTCTCTGAGCCTGAGAGACTGTGACTTGCTCAAGATCACCCAGTGCGTTTTCATGGCTGAGCTGGGATTTGATCCCCTCTCTGCTGAGTCACAGTCCAGTGTTCAAACCACTACACCACACTGGCTCTCCATTGTATTTTGTAGGCCTCTAGAAAGAGTATCATCCCATCACTAGTCCCAACCTCTGCCAACTTAGCAGTTTGAAAGCATGCAAATACAAGTAAATAAACAGTATTCTGGGCAGTCATACTGGCCACATGATCACAGAGTAGTCTCTGACAACTCTGGCTCTTCGGCTTAATAATGGAGATGAGCACCACCCACTACGATCGGACATGACTAGACAACCTTGTCAATGGGGAATACCTGTACCTTTAGAAACAGTACATGGCATTGGTAGTGAACAAGAGGTACTCATATCAGGTTGCATTTCAGGGCCAGAGAAGAGTGGGGAAGGCTAGTTTGGGTCTTAAAGACCCTTAAAGCTTAATAGCTGCTCACATAAGCAGACATCAGAAGTGTTGCCAAGTGTAGTGCTGATAATAAGGGATAAGCAAGGATCAGGCCTATGGATGCAGAGTTGCTTCTTCCTGTCTGCTCATTCAGGCAAACATAAATTTTCATCTTTCTGCGTATTGGCTATCTTCACTGTGTTCATATCAAAAAGTCATCTTGAATTCCAATATTACAGAAAAATAAAAGGCTAGTTTCTATGTTGATATCATTGTAATTGTTACATTCTAATAATTGCAAGCATTTTACTCAGATCTTAAGCCAAAGGTTCTTGATGAAGGGGTGACAACTTGGGCAATGTTTTTGTTTTTACTGAGGAATGACATTTTTAAGCATTGAAAGAGTTTTGTTTTGTTTTGCTAACTTACTGCTGTTTAAATATAGTGGGCTCTTGATATCCATTGTGGTTTGGTTCCAGGACCCCTGTGGATACTAAAATCTGAGGATGCTCAAGTCCCATTAAATACAATGGCATAGTAAAATTGTGTCCTTTATATAAAAAGGCAAATCAAGGTTTGCTTTTTGGAATTTATATTTTTGGGGAATATTTTCA